TTTTTTAGAACAAAAGTTGCCTATACGGAAGAACTTACCCTGCAGATCAAACTGCTCGAGAATCTGCGCCAGCTCGATCCACGCCTCCACGTCATCGGGATGGGCCTCGGTGACCTTCTTCAGGTAGTCGCGGGCCATGCCGCGCTTCGCCGGGTCCGCCGACTGCGCGTAGATCGACCCCAGAATCTTCATCGTCTCGTAGTTGTTCGGGTAGAACTTCAGCACGCGGTCAAAGCAGACGGCGGCGTTCTCCAGGTCCCCGCGGAAGATGTACATCTGCCCGAGGCCGTAGAAGGGCAGGACAAAGGAGGGGGCGGCGAACTGCGTCGACTGGTAGTAGTACTGGAAGGCCTGGTTGTAGTTCTCCTGAATGTGGTAGGCCCGCCCCAGCTGGTAGCTGCTCTCGGCGCGCATAAACTCGTTCTCCGTATTCTGAAAGGCGTGCAACGCCAGCTGGTGCACGCGCTGGTAGTCCCGCTTGAAGAAGAAGTGGTCGGCGAGGTGATTCAGCACCATCGGGTGCGTCTTGTCGATGTTGTAGGCGCGCGAGAGCATCTGCACGCCGTTCTGAATCGCCTCGGGGTTCTTCTTGTTCAGCTCCATGATGGCGAGGGCGACCATCGCCCCGACGCACTTGTGGTCGAGCTTCAGGGCGCGCTCAAAGGCGAGGCGGGCCTTCTCCAGCTGGTTCAGCTTGTAGAAGCAGTGGCCCATGCCGAGGCGAATGTTGGCCGGGCACTGGGGATTGTTGCGCAGGCACCTGCGGTAGTAGGTGAGCGCCCCCTTGTAGTCCTTCTTGTTGAAGCTGATGCAGGCCTTGCCGACCAGCGTCGGAATGTTGGCGTTGTTGTTGTTGAAGACGAAGGTGAACTGCTGGTCCGCCTGGTCCAGTGCATTGGCGAAGTTGTTCTGATTGAGGTCGACCAGGAGGAAGAAGGCCCGGCCGACCAGGTGGTTCAGCTCGTGGCGGTTGTCCTGGGCGTCCTTGTTCTTGCTGCTGCTGCTGCTGCTGCTCGACGGCCCCTCGGCGTGGCTCTCCGTGGTCAGCTTGTCGCCGGCGGTGTAGAGGACGGCGACCTTGTTCTGCAGCTCCTTCTTCCGCTCTCGGTTGCGCTCCTTGTTCGCCTGGGCGACGTAGTAGGCGGCCAGCGTGTCGAGGATGCGCAGCAGGTCCTGCTTGTAATCGGGCATGGTGGACATCTCGAGGATCCAGGGCGTCAGCTGGAGGTGGCTCTTCTCGGTGTCCGCGCGCACCGTCTCGAGGATGTCCCGGAACTCCTCCTCCTTGCCCTCGCGGTAGTAGGTGAGGGCGGCGTGCAGCCACAGCGACAGGGGCGACAGCTCATTGCGCAGCAGGTCCACCAGTTCGGCCACATCGGGCAGATTGTCGATGCTCAGCTCGATGACCTCCTCCTCCGTGGAGGCCTTCAGCGGAATCTCGATGACGCGATATCGGCGATTCATCGTGGTGACGGTGACAGTGGCGGTGGCGGTGGCGGTGGGGCGCCGTGGAGGGACACTTTGTTGAAGATTATCTTCCTTTTGGGTGATCTTTTGCTCGGATGCTTTGGTGAAAAAGAGAAAATGGAGGATCAAAACAGAGAAAAAGATGTCAAGTTTTTTTGAAAGCACGCCAAGACACAAAAACAGTGAAAGGGAAAATCGGGGTCGAAATCGGCAGCGTTCTATTTCCACTCAACCCCCCGGCAGCAAAAGATTTTTTTTAAAAGTCCACTGTGCCAAAGATGCACAGTGCTCGATGCGTCTGCGACTAGCAGTCTGTAAACCGCTGATTTGAAAATGCAAATCAGCGATGAGCGCCCAATCAAAACTTTGGACATCTTTTTATGCCAGAAAATATCTTTAGTAAGAGTTTGGAGATCGTTTTAGAAAACCGAATCTTTTCCCAATGCATTCTTAGTCATGCGATTGGTGGTTCTTTAACTCAACAGGGAACTGAACCGAGCCTCAACTAAATCAAGTCAAAGTTTTTCTAGAACCCCAGGTTTAAGATTCTGAATACATCGCCATCAAAGTTGCCAAAGAAACCTCGCCAAAGACACAAGCATCGTCTTTCTACAGCAGAAAGCCGAAGCTCTTTAAAAAAAAAAACAGTCAGCCCCTTTAACTGCTGTAACGCGCTCTCCGGCCAGCCCAGGCCGCCACCACCACTTTTTGGCGGCAAAATTGGCGGGAAAGTTCAGTGGCGCACGAGTTGGGCGGCAGCGCCCACTGCCCTGGAAGCCGTCCGGCTCGCAGTCACTTCTTCGATGAGGTGACCACTTCGGGGGTGGGAGGCCACCTGAGGGCAGCTTTCTGCGCCCGTCGCCAGGCCCGACCAGCGCCCGCCCCCTCCGCGTCTTCTGCTGCCGCCGCCGCCGACCTGCCTTCGCACTGTGTCTGTGTGTTTTCTCTTCAGCAGCCTATGTCAGCTGCATAGGATCACCGCCGCCGCCACTATCACTATCGCCTTCAGCGTCAGCACACACACTGTCTGCGCACTGTGTTTAAGAGAGCGCGCGCGGGGATTTAAAGAGGTGTACCCTGCAAGCACACACAAGGCCCTTGGGCCCCTTTGTTGTTGATCAGTACAAGAGATCTCTCCAGCCACCACTACCACCACTGAAGCAGTGTCATTCACTTGTCGACGGGACGTCACCCCAGCTCAGCTTAGCACCACCACCACCATAACACCGAGTACATTGCGGCGACACACTTCTTCTTCTACTTCTTCTTCTGTTGTTGTCTATCATCACCTCCACCACCACCACCACCTCCACCACCATCACCATCATCAAGTGAAAAACAACACACTCGACGATCATCATCCTCATCACTGTTCACCACCACTACCATTACATTATCGTCTCATTGCCGGTACCTTTTTTCTTCCTAACACAACACTGCGTGTGTGTGTGGTTGATTAGGTGTGGGATATCACCACCACCGTCACAGTAACAGCTGGTGAGCTACTTCATCACAGACCGAGTGCCACAGGGACGACGACGACGACGACGATGGCCAACAACGAGGCCTACGACGAGGCGGAGGAGGACCGTGATGACTTTGAGGACGTTCGACACGACCTGAACCTGGACGAGGCGACGATGGAGGACGCGCTGAAGACCTACCAGGACATTAAGGTCAACTTTAAGCTGGAGGTAAGTGGTAGAAGCGGTGGTGATTCAACCCGGTTTCTAAATTCGATTTCGAAATCACTTAAAGGGCGAAAAGATGGACTGGATCGCCTGCGCCATCTACTCCTCCTGCCGACGCCGAGTGACCCAGACGATGGGCCGCTCGAAGATTGAGGGGAACATGGTCTCACTGACGCGCATTCTCCGCTCCTGCAAGATCAGGTACAAAGTCTTTGAACTTCCTTTACTCTTGGTCTTTTTGCTAACATCTCACACATCTTGGTCTTCTTCTTCACTCAGTCTGGCGCGCTTCTTCAACAAGATGAAGAACTGGATGGCCATGGCGAAGCTGTCGCCGGAGATGCGCAGCAAGCTGGACCAGCTGGAGCGCAACTTCAACGTCACCTCGGTGATCTTCAAGAAGTACAAGCCAATGTTCGAGGACATCTTCAAGTGCGTGGAGAACAGGACCTGCCGCTTTGCCACCAAAAAGCCCAAGGGACTGTAAGTTGTTTTTTTCTTGTTTGACTTTCAACTCTTCTCACGCTTTCTTTCTTTCTCGTTCTTTCTAACACCAGGCGCAAGCAGCCGCTCACATCGCTGGACATTTTCACCTTCTGCTGGACGCTCTTCGTCTACATCAAGTCACGGTACTCGCAGATCAACGACGACCTGATCAACTCCTACCACCTGCTGGTGGTCTGTCTGGACTACTGCTACTCCAGCGTCCTCTCATTCGACAACTACGCCGACATTATCAACTCCAACTTTTACGGTGAGAGTAGCTTTTTAGGAGTTGTTTGATGGTTATGACAATGGTTTTAACGATCACATTTTCCTCCTCCTCTCAGACGATCTCGCCAAGGACCTGACCACCGATCCGCGATCTCACAACAACGACAATCGCGTCAGCATCATCGACAAGCTGTGCGTCAAGTGGAAGGGCATCGCCATCGAGGTGAAGCAGATCAAGAAGCACTGGTTCGAACCGTTCCTCAAGGCGCTCACCGAAAAGGACGACACGCCCATTCGCAAGCGCTCCAACGGCATCATCGACTGCGACGTGGTCGACTTTAACTAGTACGTGCTTTTCAGTTGCTTTTGATATTTAGTTCAAACAAATACTCACCTCCTCTTCTCCCACAACAACAGCAAATACTTCAAGCGCGAGTACGAGACCTACGTGCTGGGCATTGGCGACTTTGACGAGTGCGTCTTCCTCAATGAGACCGCCAGCGAGGAGCTGGGCACGGAGGAGTTTAACGGCNAGTGCTCTCTTCGGTGCTTTAGAACTTCAGTTCGAAACCCAGTCTAACCTTCTCTTCTCCCCCAACAGCAAATACTTCAAGCGCGAGTACGAGACCTACGTGCTAGGCATTGGCGACTTTGACGAGTGCGTCTTCCTCAATGAGACCGCCAGCGAGGAGCTGGGCACGGAGGAGTTTAACGGCGAGGGCACTGGGATCGGCAGCAGCTCCTCCAGCACCATCGACAGCGTCCTTCAGCTGCGCATGACGCCCAACTCGGCGGCGCAGATTAAATCCGCTGGTGCTGGCCGCATCAACCACGACCAGCCGAACAACCTCATGCCGATGACGCCCCTGAGCTCGCGCGACTACCTCGCCTGTCGGACGCCGGTGAACCGGGCGGTGGAGCTGACGCCGATCACCGCCGCCACCGACTGCATCAGCCGCCTCCAGTCGATTCTGGTCGACCGGAAGAGCGAGCCGAGCGAGGCGCTCCGCGAGCTGCTCGCCAAGTGCAAGAGCAACCCCGTGGAGGCGATTGCCCGCATGATCAAGGAGATGGGCGACGTCTTCCTGGCCGCCTACAGCGCCAACAATGAGAATAACGACCCGGCGGCGGTGGGGGCGGCGGCTTCGGCGGCAGTGGGCGTCATCCGCCGCAACGACGAGCTGCAGTACGTCGTCTCGAACAACTTCCCCAAGCGGCGCCTAGAGTTGGCCATTGCCTTCTTCTACCGCGTCCTCGAGAACATCCTCAACGACGAGCTGAAGAAGATGCGGAAGTTCCCCGGCTTTGACTGCACCACCTCGCTGGTGCGCGTCCTCGAGCAGACCATCTTCCTCCGGTCGCTCTTTGCCTGCTCCCTGGAGATTGTCCTCCACTCCTACTCGCCCACCAGCCGCCTCTTTCCCTGGATACTGAACATCTTCAACAACAACAGCAGCAATGGCGGTGGTGACGCTGATCTCAAGCTGCACTCCTTTCACTTCTACAAGGTCATCGAGCTGATTGCCCGCAGCGAGCCGGTGCTCTCCCGCGAGCTGGTCAAGCACCTGAACGCCGTGGAGGAGGCGATTCTGGAGCGGTACGCCTGGACGGCCGACTCGCCGGTGTGGGCGTTGCTCCGCGGCGGCGGGGTGGTGCCCTCCGTCGAGGAGACGCAGTCCTTTAGCTCGCCGGCGCCAAAGTTGCTGGCTGCGGCGGCTGCTGCAGCCAATTCGGGCGTCATCGTCCAGCCCCCCAATGGCGCCGCCAACGTCGCCCGACGTATGCTCGCCTTTGACGATGAGTCGGGAGCTGCTGATGCTGTTGCTCCTCCTCCTCCTCCTCCGCCGCCTTTTTCCGTTCCTGGACCATCAGCACCGCCGACTGACGCCCATCAACTGCAACATCCTCTTTCCAATGGCGGTGGCCCTGCTGTCATCAAGTCTGAAGGTGAGGAGGGTGGCAGCAGTCTCGGCGGTGGCTCAAGCACGCTCAAGAATGGAAATCAGAATGGAATTCCGCCGCCGCCCCCTTCTGCCACTGCTGCTGCTGCTGCTGCCCTCAAGCAGATCACCAGCGGCCAGCAGCTGAAGCTGTTCTTTCGAAAGGTAAGTGAGAGCGTTTTTTAAAGTCCTTTTGAAACTTCTAACTTTGAACTTCTTTTCTCCTCCCACTCCTAGGTCTACAACGTCGCCCTGCTGCGCCTGCGCGACCTGACGAAGCGGCTCGCCGTCCGCGAGGAGCTGGTGCAGATGATGTGGACGATTCTGGTGGAGGCGCTGCGCGCCCACACCGAGCTGATGTGCGAGCACCACCTCGACCAGCTGATCATGTGCTCGGTCTATACGATCTGCAAGATGAACACCAACATCAAATTTGCGGAGATCGTCAAGGAGTACCGGCTGCAGCCGCAGGCCAAGAACTATGTAAGTGCTGGGGTTTTTTTGGGTGCTTTTTAGCTGTTTGAGCAGATTATCAACTCTTTTTTTCCACCATCTTCTTCCTCAGGTGTACCGAAACGTGCTGCTCGCCATTCGAGAGTACACCACCGGAGAGCAGGCAACTGCAACTGCAGAGGTGGCGGAGAACACCGGCGACCTGATCAAGTTCTACAATAACTTCTTCATTCCGCGCATGGATGAGGCGTTCATTATCAGCTTCAAGATTGGCGATCCGAGGCAGAATGTAAGTGACTTTTCCTAAGTCTTTGCAGACCTTCTAATCTAATCTAATCTAATCTTTCTCTCCCATTTCCCTAGGCCAACCTGACCCTTTCTCCGATGCCCGCCCACCGCAATCCGCTCATCTCGCCCCTGCACCAGTCGCCCATTCGGCGCGTCACCGACAACGTCTTCGTCTCGCCGCTGCCCGCCACCGCCCACCACCACTCGGGCAGCAGCGGCTGTCCGATCTCGCCCGTCAGTCGCTCCAGTCAGTCGATTCGCATTCAGTACACCTCCGCCACCGTCACCAACGACCTGAAGGCGCTCAACAGCATGATGGCCAACCACCGAGGTGGAGGAGGAGGTGGTATTGGTCGAAACTGGAACAACGCCGCCCCCGCCGGAAGTAGTGGCACCAAACGGGTCGGCAAGCGCATCCTCCAGGACGTGCTCGAGGGCGACGGCGGCAGCTGCGGCTCCTCCTCCTCTTCCGCCTCTCATGGTGGCGTCGGCGGGAAGATGCCCTGCCTCAGCCGCAAGATCAACGACATTCTCGCGGACCGCAATCAGTTTCAGCAGTTTAGTGCGGCGGCTGCGGCCGTCGCCGCTGCCTCGCTGTCCGCCGCCGCCTCAGCCAACGGCAGCGGCGCCGAGGACAACAACAACTCGAACGACTTGCTGCAGTTTAACTTGGCCGGGGTTGGGGCCGGGGCTGTTCCGGAGGCTTCGATTCGAACAGGAGGTTCCGTTCTCTACCTCCCCAATGGTGTGCTCACTGGCATAGACATGGGCGGCAGTCCCCCCACAGCGGTCGCCGCCGCCGCCCCGGTGATGAGTTCAGTTGCTGTCGAGTAGAGAGGT